AACCTTATGTGGGGTCGCCCAGACAGTATAGTGGTTAGGGAAGCCTACTACGGTACCGAAGAGCCGGTTTCGAATCCCGTGTAAAACATGGATGTTTGTAAATGTATAGCGTCGTTGCGGCATGGTGGCACTCTAAATATGCGGCGAGCCGAAAGTCCTCTTGTCTGGTTGGTGGGAGAGGAGAGGGATGGGAGACCCTCGGATCCCCCCCGGAGTGCTCTCGCTCAAAATTGGGGGCAGAAATTAGAAGTCCAACCTCTCTTCGGAGTAGGTTCTGGCAACCATTGTTCCATGTAATATGGACAAGACACCAACAACAAACTTTATGTGATTCTTGCTCCAAACCCACAGTTTTTAGAACAAACAGTATAAACTGCAGTTGAAATTTGAAGTGATGTTGAGTTTGTAACAGTATGTTCATTGAATCAATATGCCATTATTATTCTTTTTGGAAGTTCCACAGTTTTTAGTTTAATTTTTTTTTTTTTTTTTTTTTTTTTTTTTTTTTGTACGGGAATTTTTGATTAGTTGTTGTCATTTTAAACCTTCTGATGTGAGACACCAGACAAATTAGATCCACGAATATTACCATGATCTATTTTGGCTTATAGGCCTTTTATTATAGTAGCAGTGTAAGTTTGCCCATCTTCGTACCTATTTGAAGGTGTATCCCCCGGTGGGCGGATTAGAGAGTCGCCCTCTCCTCTTCTCTGCCCATTTTTCTCTGTCCATTGCCATAATTGTAATTTGAAGGTTAAAGTATGAACGTTTCTGAGTATGAAAGTTTGTTCACATCCTTTTCGCAAAGTGTATATAAAAAGTTCTGTATTTCTAGCCCCTAAGGAATATTAGTCTCAAAGCACAGGTTTTTGTTGATTAACTTTAAATATCACTCACTGGGAATGTGTTGTTTCACTTATCATTCGAATCTGTTGCCATGTGGTGAAATGTAAAATATTTATCTTTCAAAATGAATCTGTTCTGAATGTCCCTTTCAAAATGAGTCAGTCTGTCTGATTAACAAATTAAATTAATGAAAAGCAATAGATGCAGTTTTAATTTTTTTTTACTTTTTAAGCTCTTTGATTTAAATAAAAATGCATTTAATTCAGGATATATCTAATTTAAAATGTAAAATATTTGAATGGAATTACTTTATAAATTTTTTTCCCTTTTCAAATACACCGAAGATATATAAGTGTTAGTTTAAATGCGTATTATAAAAGCATCCTATAAAATGTTTTCCCATTCCACCTAGACCATATCTATCGCTAATCCATCTTGATATACCAAAACGAATTTTTAAAGAGCCGTTTCGGCCAATTGTTAAAATCAGAACCCTTTCAGACTTTTTTTAATATGTATCTGAAAACACTTCGCACATTTTTTTCTTAAATAAAACATAACTAAATTTTACGTTTAAACTATATTACGTTAGGATGTAGTACTCTAAATATTTTAGTAGTTTTCTTTTACTTTTGAATAAAAATTTAAAATAATTTTCGCATTTATCGTAAATACAATTTTGGCCCTTGTGTGACATAAAATGCACTAAACTTTTTTTTTTCCCCTTTTTGTATACTACTCTAAAACCATTTCATTTTCTAACTACATCGAAAATTATGCTTTAAATAATCTGTTACTTATTATAATGATATATTCATTTATTCATCTATGAAAAATTAACGTATTACTGTAAATATTTTATTTAGAATGACATATTAAATTAATCAACATACTGGCGTGTTAATCTGTTAATATTTTTATACACTAATTTAATATTAAATTACTTACAAAAGAATAAATTTGAATGAAAAGGGAAACACATATACCACATTAAAAGAAACTTCAGCTGGTGTTATGCACATTCGTCATGATGTCTACTATTCTTGTTTTAAAACGCGTATCTTCTTACCCTTATATTTCTCCTGTTAGTTATTATTATATCGGGCGTTTCCATTCACAAATAGAAAATAAATCTTGCTCTGAATTAAAATTAACTTCTTGCTGCAGCATTTACTGTTTCTAAGACTAGTATAATTCTTATTTTCGGCTAACATCTACCGCCGCGACTGTCAGTCGGCTACCCACGTTGCATCACTATTTGGACAGCAGCAAAAGAGGCAAGAGAAGCTCAAAATAAATAACCTTAGGGTCAAGACCTATAAAGCATGTATGCTGTAAATCTCACTCCATATCCTCGAATCTGCAGCAATTACCTTTGATTTGATTCGCCTAGAGACCCACCTAAATATAAGGGTGCCTGATCCGAGTGACATCATGACTTATAGAGGAATCCGATGACTTTTGGCTCCTTAAAGGAAGGCGGAATTATAGACTTCGAATTTAAAGTTTATTTCAGAAATGATTATGGGTGTTCGTTTTGTTGAATTTCGTGCTTGAAATTCATTGGTGTATATTCAGTAAATGTAACGGGTAATATTTAACTCAATTTTGAGATTTGTATTCTTGTATCAGTCAAAGCTCTGAAAGTAACTTAAAGCTATTGTTACACTCGCATTTATATAGATAGTATAAGAAGTGACGTATAACGACATATAGTATAATGATGGCGTGATTTTTACGCTTGGAAGTATCAGAAGTGCAAAAAATACCTAATTTCATTTGGCTAGAATTTTGCATTTTAATAAAAAACAAACAATGGTTAGTGAATGTATTTATTTAGAAAAATGCCATATAATCATGGTACAAGAATAAATATGTAATTATAAAAATATAATGATATGTAGCAGAGATAAAGAGCATGATGTTTGCGCTTTTGTTGGTGACTGCTTCTTCTTATAACAGGCTAACAGTGGACACTCATACATCAAAACAATAATAAATAAAAATCTCAAAGCTTTCAAATTTTATATTATACCCAAACTGGCGTTTTTAACGTTTTGTCTGTTACCTTGTATTTCTCCCGCCTTCTTAGTGTAGTGGTCAGTCCCCTGGGCGCGAATTCCAGAGGTCCGTGGTTCAATTTCCGGCAAAGGCGTTGCTCATTTTTCACTTCTCCTGTTTCCGAAAAATACCTAATGTCTCTACAGTGGCGCCCGATGATTCTCCACACCCAGGATTTGGCGACTGCGTCCTCTAAAATCCCAGTCGCCCTTTAAAAGGGGAAGTATGTAAGGTGCTTCCTCCGCCTTCTTAGCATGCCTTCATAGTGTAGTGGTCAGCAGGCTGGGCGCGTATTCCAGAGGTCCGTGGTTCGCTTCCCGGCGAGGGCATTGCTCATTTTTCATCACTCCTGCTATAAAAATCTCCTAATGACTCTACAACCTTATTAAATATCATGTCTTCGCACTTAAACCATAAAATTAAATTCAACAGCAATATCACAAAATATTTAAAAGAGCATTTCTTTACAATTTCTGATACACAGTCTCGCACGCTAAAGATAATTTTTTTTTTTTTTTTTTTTTTTTTTTTCCGTACTGTGTTACCATTGCTCGCTTTGAAATCGTTGAGTTTCCTAACCAAAAATTCATAAAATCTTTACAAAATATGAAATAGACAATAAAACAAATTCCGAATTTCGGCTTCCTTAACAATGTCAGTGAATTTTCATACATAATACATTACGAAACATGAATGAGATTTTCATTCAACAACCACTTATTTATTTATTATTATTTATTTATTTATTTTACTTGTTACATGTTCTGCCATTTGGCACTACACAGAAAGGGAGGGATGCTCTCCGGAGGACTCCGGAGCGAGGGAGGGATGCTTAATGGTTGATCTGCCTAAGGAGAAGGGATACCTTCGTGTAGGACTTTCTGGGTGAAACTGGCTCGTAACCACATGACACATGGGAAAAACCACGAAAACGCCCATGCAACAATCCCGTTCGTTAGGACTCGAACTCCGGACCGAACTACCAGTGTTCAGCACTTTTAACCACTCGGGCACTGGTTGGCCAACCGCTTAATGTTGTGTACTTTTATGCAACACCTGTTTCTAAAAGTCTACCGCTCTTTCGTTCTTTACTACTTCGTATAAGATTGAATGTTATGGGAAAAAGGTACTTAAATATCCCAGTCAAGACATCCAATAACAATGGTTTTTGTTTAATTTGGCTCTAGTCTCAGGGAATAGAAAAAGTCAGCGGCGAATCGGTTGTTCATGTATTAAAATCAAAAGAGATTTTAATTTCTTAATTAAAATTCTTCCTTTTTTGGGGGCAGAAATTTGCATTTTATATGGCGTTCAAATACTTCTTATGTAACTTTTCTGGAAAGATTTCATTAATTATAAAAATAACAACTAGAAATGAAAATTTAAATTAAAAAAAATCCGTCACATAAGGAAATCATTTACTTATCTGCGGCAAAGTGGGCGATAAAACGCAGCTACGGGAAGTAATGCACTCACTCCTTCTCCTCCCCATACTTCGCTGGATATCATGCGCTTCGAGTATTTATTAGGGCCATAAATTTCTTCCGAAATCCGTGTCTCTGCATAAATACCACGTGCTTTCAAAAGCCACGTGGTTATAACCATCCTAGAATTTGGTTTTGTTGTTATCTGCTCGAAGTCTGTTTCTGGACAGGATAAAGATCCGACTCACACTGCACTGTTTTATGCACTGTTTATGGTATTTCTTTTTTTTTTTTTTTTATTTTATTTTAGTGCTTTATCCGGTGTGTATTTTTTTACCATATGCTGGGTCTTTGCGATGCTACACAGAAATCTGAAAATTCCGTCGATTGCAGATCACCTTAGCAAAATTAATGAGATTTCTTCATCGATGTTGCTAATTGCTCTACAGTCAACTATTCATCCATAATTAATTTTGAGAATCGGGATTATGACCAGTTTATAAGTTTTTGCTACGCACCTATTGAGCTACTACAATTTCGTCATTTTGAGTATCGTTTTCTTTTCTTTTCCTCTTGTGTGTATATGGCAGTTTCTGTTTTTGTATATAGCATTTTATTTATCCTAGCACAATACTTTGAAATTTTCTATTCCTCTGTGTATTCTTACAGGTAAGGGTTAGAGCCATTGCCGGTGTACTACCCAGATACTACTCCCGACCACTCCACCATATTTTGTGACTTTTCAGGGAGAATAGCTCCAATAAAGTAAGACGGAGGAGGAGGAGGGAGTAAAATGAGTACAACCTCATTTGCCATTTTGCCTTCTTCTTCTGAATACAGGTTGCAGGTCGGCCTCAAAAAGGGCAACTTCTGAAGGATAGGTATGCCTATACGTACCGCTCTTAATTGAACACGTTTATATTTCTTCTAGGTGGCATCAGAAGTACTGCAGTAAATTGAAAATCCGAAGGATTGGCCGAATGAACCCCAAGTACGAGGTTCTACGGGTAAACATGAATTTATCAATCCCTACCTGTTATTTATTTAAGAAGGTTCACCCGCTTTGTGCTTTTCAAAACAATATGCTAAATATGTTCGTGACTTATAAACTTAGGGTCTAAAATGAACCCCAGCTGTTTGGGGTGCTTCTCATAAATAAGCTTCTGATTATCTAGCTTCAACCATGCCGCACCGCGATGCTTTATGTTCGAAACTGTTAATTAATGAAGTAATAACCGCTTAACAGGTTCCCAAGAATTACAACTGAGATGATTATCTGTAACCAAAATAATTCATTATATTTTGAAACCGTAATATAGAAACTACGAACATAAATACACTGGTGTGCAAAAATTAAGGACGAAGTCGAAAAATTAACATATCTGCTGAACGAAGGGGCAGAGCGGACAGAAAGACCAATCAGGAGATTAAGTAAGGTGATGTACGGAAGCACAGGCAGATATGCAGGTAGACGTAATGGGGGAGTGTCTGAGTAGTATAAAGCATGTTGTCGGTGTAAGATCAGTATTTCTGGCAAAGAGATTGCACGCCGTATAGAAGTTAAAATCCCACCGAGTTGCTGCCTCAGCGAGAAATGGCGAATAATCAATCTGTTAGACGACATGTGGATGCTTTTACCCGAGGTCGAATCATTGGGAAGTTGGAGGAAGGCCGCAGTGTGACAAGTGTGGATGCAGAGTTCGGAATTGCTCCCAGCATCGTTTCACGACTTTGGAGACAATTTCAAACTACAGGAACAGCTATCCCGGGTTTAGTAGTGGTCGTACACGAGGAACCACACCCGCAGATGACCGATATATTGTCTTACAGGCCAGAAGAAACAGGCGGCAGACAGCGGGAGAAATCGCTAGACACACGACACAGGCGACTGGACGACCGATATCGCGTTTCACCGTGGCCAGAAGACTGCACGGTGGTGGTCTGTTTGCAAGACGCCCTGTACGGTGTGTACCTCTAACGCCTGCCCATCCGAGAAGACGTTCTCTGTGGTGCCGGCAACACCGGAATTGGAGAGACAATGAATGGGAACGAGTACTTTTTACAGATCAGAGCAGATTCAGTCTGAGTAGCGATTCTCATCGCATACTCATCTGGAGAGAGCGGGGAAGCCGCAATCATCCCTCGAACATCATTGAAAGAGGCAGGTATGGAGGTGGCGGTGTTCTCGTTTGGGGAGGCATCATGCTTGGTAGTCGTACAGACCTTCACATCTTCGACGCTGGTTCAGTCAAGGGGACCCGTTATTGTAACGAGATTCTTCCTCCATATGTGCGTCTTTTTAGAGGCGCTATGGGTCCGCAGTTCCTTTTCATGGACGATAATGCACCATGTCATTGCACAGTAGCTGCCAAACAGCTCTTAGAGAGTGAGGATATTGAACGTATGGATTGGCCGGCACGATCTCCGGATCTCAATCCCATAATAATCCATCGAGCACGATCCCATAATAATTCATCGAGCATGTATGGGATTTTCTAGGCAGACGCTTGAGAGCTCGTACCTTACCACCAGTAACGATTCCGGAGCTTCGATTGGCGCTGCAAGACGAATGGGCAGCAATGCCTCAACAACTCATTGACACCCTCATTCTCAAGCATGGGCAGACGCTGTGAAACCTGCCTAGCAGTCAGGGGAGATCATATCCCCTATTAAAGACCGGATGTTTCTTGCTGGACACCCATCACAGGGATGTTTCGGCCTTCAGTCGCATTGCGCTCCATGCTACTTTTTAAATAAAGCTTCTTTTTATCCCTCTGATTTCTCTTTTAGTAAGTGTTGCTTACATTACTGATGTCCTTACGTATTGGGGATCTTACGGTATTAAATGTGTTGATTTGGAAAGCTTTTGTACAAAGTTATATTGAAAAAACCGTCTGGTCCTTAATTTTTGCACACCAGTGTAAATATATATTGGTTGATATGTATATAGGAGCTCAATGGTAGTGAAGAAGGAGACAATTAATTTAGTTGAATTAAAACAGAGTTGAAGTATTGTGGCAAAGTTTGACGAATCCGCCAGACAGTCATTAATTCTCTATGCGATTTCATCAGTATCAGTGGTAGAACACCAGAGAACAATATCATCTACAAACATGCCAGTTCGAACTCCAGACGAAGGCACACTCTCGACACCAGCCAAGTACGTAGCGAAAAGTATAAGCCTAAGTAATGTAAGTGATGTAAAGTAATTTAAGTGAATACGCCGTATGTTACATTAAATATTGATTGTATTCAAAAAGCCAAACTTATTCAGAAAATTATTTTCCGACAGTTTTCTTCGTAATCTGGATTCGAAATTATCAGATTTTTTTTCAATCATGTAATTTCAAGTATCGCATCAATTACTCAACGTTTCATATTATTTCTCCCCGTTTAATTTATTTTTAGTATTTTTAAGTGTACAGTTTATTCTTATTTACTCAAGATTTTCTTCTGAGCATAATGTTTTATATTTTCCCAAGTTCTGTGAACACAGTTTCAAATATAATTATTCTCCAAATCTCATTTACGCATATGCAGTTTCAAACATAGATCTCTACATAGCTTCAGTTTATTAATGTCAAATACATGAATAGCTACTCTTAACACTTTCATCTGATCTGCTGCACTTTCTGCTAAATATCTTATTGAATGCCATCGCCTGGGCGCTCATCTGAAAAAGACAGTTCAATATTTTAATTAATAAACGCCTGCCGCACCATGATGCTTTATGTTTTATGTTCGAAACTGTTAATTAATGATTTAATAACCGCTTAACAGGTTTCCAAGAATTACGACTGAGATGATTATCTGTAACCAAAAGAATTCATTATATTTTGAAACCGTAATATAGAAACTACGAACATAAATAAATAAATATATAATAATAAATAAAAGTAAAAAATAAATAAACTTAATTTTAAATATTTCAGCATACTCAAAGTTAAAAAAATCTTCGAACTGATATTTGTTATTCTTTTTTTAATTATTATAATTATGCAAACTATAAATGAATTCTAAATCCGGTATTTGTATGAATAGAGAGAAAAAAAAAAAACAATACAAATCAGGATTGTCAAGAATTACTGGACTCAATGGATAAGTATGACTTATCTACAACAGAGATAGTCTAAGGTCAGTAACAAGATCACGCTGAAGTCACCGATATTGTACTTGTTACTTTGTCTTTTCGTCCTGTACTTTTTGCTCGCATGAAAAATGTTTTTGCTTATAATTTATTAGCACCCCATGCTGATTCGAATAAGGAAAGAGACGTCACAGTGAACCTGAAATTGCAGTGATTCCGAAGACAATTGCTGCGACTTCTGTCAAAAAGAAAGCAATGTGGAATTAGATAAAAAAATCCGTGTGCCACTCCTCTAACTCGATCCTGTGTCATTAATCCAACTCTTCTGGAAGTCTTGTCACAACTACAAAGCTCCAACTGAATTTTTTTCCGTCCGTCTCTCGCTCTTTCGTATTTTTTCCCCTTTTCTTTATATTCTATCCGTCTTTCTTTTTTTACAGTCGATGTATGCATGTATGTGTGAGCGGGTCATTACATGAAGGCTGTCCTCCACGTAAGACCTGGAAGCCCCTTGAGGGTCATTATTCATATCCGGTGACGTCATGTCGACTCTCGGATTCGCACTCTGACACTGTGGTGGCAGACGCGAAGTTTAGATTTCGTATTTATAGTCCTTTCTCTGTCTATTTATAGATATCGAATTTAATGTCCATTGTACTATACCGCCTATGTGGCTGCATAACTGAATCCATTTACTCTTTGCATGATGCACGGTGATTCTCAAACAAGACAAAAAATATTTTAATAGTTTTATGCTCTTACAAATCAGCAGATTATACAGGATGATCACTTTAGGCCTAAGATGATGCATTTTTGTCTCAAGAGATAGTATTAGTTCTTTATCTATTTTTGACACAAAATGTGATATTAAACTTTTATCTTTTCTTGAATGGCAGCTTAAAACCTCATCATTCTTGGAGTCATAACTATTGTTGTTTCTTAATCTCATTATATAAAGGGATGGGAATCAAATCAGTGAATTCTTTACGGCTGTGAGTTTCGTAGCCAAGATCGTCTGGCCAAGGTTTTCATTGGAATTTTGATAGCACGTTCAAATTACGTGTAGTTTGTTCATTGATGGCGTTAGCTGCATTTAAAACATTTACGACGTATTAAAGGGATGTGCGTTGTAACCGTGTTCTTAAGGTGTGTATTTCAATGTACAAAGCTAGTACTTTTCAAAACCTTTTCAGCACGTACCATGAACTATTTATAGTTTGTCAGTTCCACGTCGATTTTTGCCCAGTTCCATGCCAGTTCTGTTGAAGAACACCTCAGGGGGGGTATGATCCAAGGGCCACTTACTACTCTTACTCTACCCTTAACCTCAACAGAATTTTTGCCTTGGCAGTACTTTAAGTACCCCATGTAACAAAGATACTATACGTTTATAACATCAACGCTTCGAGACTCGATCCCTGGCCAAAGGCTGATTGCCGAGATATGGATTAACCATTAAACATACAAGAGCTGGATTAACCATTAAGCGAAATAAGTTAGGCAAGGGCAAGGAAAAAGAGCAGTACAAAAATGTGCTCAGAGACTCAATAAAGCGGTTCCTACAAAACATTTCTATTGTTTTTACCATGGAATATATGTTCACCACGTTTTACCATGGAATGCTGCTTTTAACATGCAACTAGACCAAGACCTATATAGAAGATATTGGGGGAGAAACAAACTTAAAAGCATTGTGGGAACAACAAAAACTTTTAAGTGCCTAAAGAGAGCTAAATTCTTTATCCGTCCCTGCCTACAGCTAAGCCAACTGGGCGGTTGTTGTAATTATGTTGTGACTTTGATGCCGGTAATATGTTGCATATGTGTCTAATTCTTGTTCCTAATGTCTAGGTAAGTCATGCTGTATGGATATACTAAAAATATTTTTATTATAATGTATAAATAAGTGAGTACATATATTAATGCTGCAGTGCCATAAAATATTCATTGTAAGAATTACAATATGCCACGAGTTAAAAAAGCTGGAGGACAACTAATTAATTATCACTCAAATATATCTTTCATGCACACTTCTTTTAAATGCTCATTAACTACAATTATTCCATTATGATTTATTCTTCTGTACTTTATTAAGTACGTTAATACGAATGAGAGTCCAAATACGTGATGGTTTTATAAAATATCTTCGGACATATACTTCTGCCCTTTATATAATAATAAAAACTTCAAACATGAACTTTTGCTTTTTGTATAGGTATCAGTCAGTAAAAGAGAAGCTGAAGACTGTGGAAAAGCTTCACACACGGTAGTAATCTCAGTTGTCAGGGAAACCATCAATATGGTATAGAAAGTGGCGAACGTCGACATGTGGTAGCTAAAAGAAGAAGGTGTCACATCATGTGATCGAAAACAGAGTAGCCTACTGCATGCGTCGTTCAAGTACTATTCCCATACGGGAATTGAGGAATGGGTTCACCAATGTATCTGAAGCTGGAAACTAAATTGTAATTCTTCTGCGAATTTCAGAAACTTATCATTCTTTTCCCGGTTGACGGATTCTGAAGTGGTAAAATCGTTAGGAAAGACGAAACAATGGTGTTTCTGTCGCAACAGCCTTCGGCTGTTTTATTTTTATTTTAATCTTATGGCAAAAGATTCTTTTTTAAAACACCTGCTATTTAAAATTAATCTTCTTATCTTTAGAAACTGTCGCTAAGATTTCCCTTCTTCCTTTCTTAATTTAGCTACATTCTTCTTTGAACCGCTAACCATACTTATGGAGTTGCATAAGTGCATTTTTTCATGATTTTTTTTTTTTTTTTTACTGAAAAACAATTATTACTGATTTTTAAAAAAATTAAAATTTAATAAAATTAAAATTTAATAAAATTAAAATTTTTACTGATTTTTTAAAATTTGTTGTACTCTGAATAGAAAAGTCTGTAATTTTGCATAAGAAATAAATACTTATTTACTCTCTCATACATCAGTCAAATAATTTTGACTTGATGTATTTACTATACATCAAGTCAAAATTAGATTTGGCCGAAAATAAACCTTAAAATTATCACCTTAAAACCATCAAAACAATAAATAGCTAGATAAAATAATAAACCGTACTGCAACATGAAATCAATCTAAATATTTACGAATTACGGTTAACTACATATGCTGTTTACTGACTACATTCCTTATTTATTGTTGTTGTTGTAACTAATATCGCTTCTCTGATATCAGAGCAAACCCACGAAATTCATCATGGCAAAGAGGCAATATTCCATTGGTCGTTGGCAAGAACCTTGGGCTTCATATAGATTAGAGTATGATTTCGCTCTTCGCCCTAAACTTTGAAGAAGAGCACTCTGGATGGAGAGGTCCGATAGTCTCACACCCCTCTTCCTCCACCACCAACATCTCGAGAGGACTTCCGACTCGCAGCATATTTAGAGTGCCTCCATGGCGCACAGACACTATACGTTTACAAACATCCATGCCTTCGGCGGGATTCGAGCTCACGCCCTTCGTAACGGCAGTCAGAGTCGCGAACCACTATACCAGTTAGGCGGCTTCCTTATTTATTAATTTCTTTACGTTTTTATGAGTAAGGCAATACTTGCAATACATCCTATTTTATATTGATATGCAAAATTGTTCATTCTTTTTATCTGCTTTCGAATACTGTGCTTTTACATTTAAAATATTTTTTATAGAAATAACGAGAAAGTTTTGATACATTTATTGTAAAATTTTCATATATTTAAAGACACGATCAATGACAATTATTGTTTTACAATGATCTTTGAGCTTACAAAAATCATTTTTGTCATCGTTTCTTACATTAAATAAAAATTCGTTGTTTAATATTGTAATCGCCAATTTTAACTACTAATAATTTTTGAAACCTTATTAAATAGTATTAATTTTTTCTATAATGCTCAGAAACTTTACATGATTCGCTTATTATATTGGATCTTCAATTATTACGTAGAAAAGTTCTCGACAATATATTTCAGAGCATTATCATAATATTACAAGATTTTATTATTTACCACTTTTTTAAGAGATATTTTGGAATCCCAAATCACAGAATTAAGAGAAATTTGAAAGTATTTACCAATATTGAATTTCAGAAATGCTGAACCATGGAATGCTAGAATATAATATAAAAGTGATAAAGTGTGAACACTGTTAGAACAATATAAACAATTTATGCTGTTTGAACCTTGAGTCATCAAATAAATTTAAACTTCGTTCCTGCTAATCTTTCGTTTTCATTTATGGAAATGTGATATTTTTCAAAATTCTGTTTAGGTTTTTTAAAATCAAACGTTGAAATGATTTGTTATAGAATCTTCGCACATGCCTTTACTTAATAAACAAGCTAAAGTCACAGAATTTTAAAATTTTCGCCATCGGATAGAGCAGAGAAATATACTTTAAGTGAATTTCTATCGAATTTTTAACATGTTTTCCTAATTTTGGGCCATTTTTCAAAAATAGTTTGATTTTTTTCCCGACCGTTTAAATTTGTTATTTTAAAATTTCAATATCCAAAAATGTATCTGTTATGAAGTTTTGAAATTTCATAGATTATAAAAGAATGCCTTTGCCCTCTTTTTAAATAAGAATGATAAAAATTATTAAATAAGCTGTTCCCTAAATAAATAAAATAATAAAAAATTCCTCTTGTGTGATTTAAGTAAAAGATGAAGTTTCCGCTCTTGATTGGGTATCCCTTGATTTCCGTTTGAATCGTGTTTCCGAAGATATACTTCACAGTATCTTTTTCCCTTCCGTACAGATTTCCCTAATACTTAGTTTATAGTTTATTTATTTATTTATGAATACCCCTTCCTCAGTTGCTAGAAAGTCTTGTTTGCAAAGACTATTAGGCCTAATGCAAAAATCTTCTGTTATGTCATAAATTATAAATGCTATGTTAAATGCTATGTCTTCCTCTGATTTTCTCATTTTTTTTTAAAGGAAAACGTTAGATTAAGAATTTATTTCTTCTTATTAATCCAATTTTTTTTCTTTCCGATTTACTGTATTAAACGGCAGATTATATAAGGATTGTCTAAAAGTTTGAAATTATACTCAATGAAACTTACCATGTATAATTATAAAGTACCATATTGAAGAATTCTGATTGCTTAGTATGCTAATATGTTGACTTCGTAATATCTAAAGAACTTGGCAGTCGAGGCGGTTTTAATTCCATTTTTATTTTCCAGTTGACGTCTGTGGCCAGCAAGCAAAACAGTGAAGTTTAGCAATGTAGAGATCGAAGCTGAAGTGCGTAATTATGCAAGATGGAAGCACACGAAGAGAAAACTTTTGGTTTGTGTTAAAAAGTTTCAGTTTACAATTATTACGTCATCAGAACTGCGCAGGCCATAGAATGATCTAGAAATGACGCAATGGAGACAAGTTATTACGATTTTTAGAACCGAGATGGAGAATTAAGGAGTTTACCCGTTAGTTTAAATTATCATTTTGATTTACATATTTTTATCTTACATATATACATATTTCCATTTTTTTTTAAGTTTACTAACAGCTTGCGTGGTCAGTCGTAGGCCTCGTATTCGTAACTTATTGACCGAAAATGGGCCTCGTAAGCTCTTAATTAGAGTCCTAAAATGTAAGTGCAAGTGTTCACATTGGAGTAATGTGAGATCTGAAAGTTCAGCGCTTTTAGCTTAACTAAATCGTCTTGTGTGGACATCTCATGACTACCTTGTACGGTCTATTAAATAATACACATTTTTTGCTGCACTTCATTTAAACTTATTTTCTCGAATTCGTCTAACTTAATTAACCGCAAGGTAAACTGAAATGACATCAAAAACTGCAAATTTGGAAATTAAATATCCCGGTCAACTTTTGTAGTAGAAAAGTAGTCAAACTTCTTATCATTTTTTTTTTTTTTTTTTTTTTTTTGTTTCCATAATGAATATAAAATTTTCCCAAATATACGGATAGGAACCAGAAGACTACATGAAAAGTTCGATTTCGCTATTTTTCCAAATTAATTTTTTTTTTAATTTTACACTGCCAAAACATGAATATTTTCGTCATTTAAAATATTGCTTTACAATCGAGGATTGCGAAAATATAAACGAGTAAGGAAGTTGGTAAACACACACATATACATGCATATCTATATATACATGCATACTTTTGCTACTGTCTTTTACAATAAAAAATGGAAGGTGCACTACTAGTAATGTTATAGCAGTCCCTTATACAATTTCAGCTTTCAGCGTTCATTTTTGAATTATGTGAGATACATACATACACGCCTGCATACGTATAGACGTCGCAAAAAATCCATTTTGAATTCATTTTACAATTCGTTTTGGGATAAAGAATACTTTATTCTGTCCGTATGTAGAATTACGTTAAAATATAGTCAAGATTGGATTCGAGAACGGTTTCGTTAAAGTCTGACAACCAAAAATTTTCACGAGTGCAGTATTTCCTTTATTTCGTACAGGAAAGTACAAATGATCGTGTTATTATATATATTGAGCTTAAAATTCATTAATTAAGTATACATATATTAAAACAAAAGTCGTGAGCATTAAAAATATTAGCTTTATTATTACAGATTAAGGAAGCTTTGATCTCCTACAATCCAAGTAAAGGATCAGATTATGCACATTTATGCTAATATCTCTTACAGATACTCATTGCAATCATGCGCATTCCTCACTTACAACTTCATCAATATGCTTAATTAGACAGTTAATCAAGAGAGCTTTCTGCTGCTGCGAGGAATGAATTAAATTTCATAATGAGATATGATTAAGTTAAGACACATATGAGTTTTATGGAAACTAATATTTCGAATACCAACATTTTCTACTTGAAATCTCTTTAAATAAAAATGTCTGGTTTATCACTTTAAATGCTTATTTTCTCGAAGGGTAATTCAGAATAATACAGATTATAGAACTTCGTCAACTTTAGAGAAAATGCAATTCAGGTATAGAACAGTAAAATTATGTAATCAAAATTTTACTCTTACTAAAGAAAAGGGGAGCAAACTTCCCCTAAACGTTTCGAGACTTCATTAATGTCCTGTAAAATTTGCTTAAGAATTAAAAAACACTGTTCTTCTTATTTTTTTGGGGGGGGCGAATATATTATTTTTATCTTTAGATTTTTATCATTTAGAGACTAACAATAGTAAATATGGAAAACAATGCATTTAGTTTCTACTGTTATGCTATCTTCCCGAAATTTTCCAAGTTGCTTATTCCTATTGCTTAACTTCACGCATTAGATTTGGTTGGATTACGTGAATTAGACACAATTAATAAGCAATATTTAAACTTAGTTTCAAATGAATCATAGTTTACTATATTCTCTAATCAACTGTTTAGGATAATAATTTGCTTCTTGGAAACCTGTACAGTAATAGAAAGAGAGCATCCGTTTGTCGAAATTTTATCATCCATACGGTTTAAAAGTAACTGAATGAGCTTACACGACAGAAAATTTTATTAAAATGTGTTAGCTTAGAAACAAGAAATGTTATTCTTTCTTCAGAGAGAATTAATTAGAATGACTTGAGTCTTCTTCAAGGAAAAAAAGTAGAAAGAGTAATAATAATGATAAATAAATATATAATTATAAACAAAGGAACAAGGTAAAAAATTGGTTGTAGAGACGTTAGGTATTTTTGGAAGCAAGAGAGATTGAAAAATTAACAAACGCCTTCGCCGGGAATCGAACCACGGACCTCTCGAATACCGGTCCAGTGTGCAGAACCACTACATCACGAAGGGACGCTAGGAAGGCAGGAGAAATAGCTTATATATACCCCCTTTTAAAGGGCGACTGGGGATTTTAGGGGACCCAATCGCGAAATCCTGGGTGTGGCGAATCCTCATCCAACACCCTTTTAGTTCCGGCGCCACTGTAGAGAGACATTAGGATTTTTGGAAGCCGGAGAGATGAAAAATTAACAATCGCCTTCGACGGGAATCGAGCCACGGACCTCTGAAATACCGGCCCAGCGTGCAGAACCACTATACCACGAAGGCACACTAGGAAAGTGGGAGAAATACCTTACAAGGTAAATAAAAATCTAAAAGCTTTCAGAATTTATATTACGTCCAAAGGCGCGTTTTTGTCATTTACAGAAGCATGCACGTTTCCAGAACATTTGAAATAACGCCCCTTTGAGCTAAAGATATATAAAAATGGCATATCTTTAGAATTTGCCATAGACAGTCTCGTGCGCTGGAGATAAAAGTATTTTATTCCGTGCAGTGTGTTGCCACTGCTCCCTTTGAAATCGTTGAGCTTTTTAATCAAAAATTAGTTAAAATTTAAAAATTATGAAATAGAAAAAAACCAAATTCAAAATTTAAGATTCGGACTTCCAGGTGCCTATATTCAGATGGAAGACTACATTATTCAAAATTTGATGGCTCTAAGTATAGTTGCTTTTTCACAAACATTCATACATTCATGTAGGTACACGCATTTATACATACATTCATTCATTAGAAGGGCGATACTATTTGGTGGCAACAATTTGAAAAGTGAAACAGCCGTTTCGAGACAAGGGTTAACGCCCCTTTTGGCTAAAAATAAAAGTATTCTTTATTCGTTTACGACTTTGTTTTTATTACTTATATAATTTTATTTCTAGAGGTAGTTGTTAGTATAAGATTATTCACTAATATTTCGAACCAGATACCACAAACACAGAAGAAATTTAAAACGTCATAAACGGAATTTCAGAGCACACCGAAGTATAAATAAAAATTTCAAAATACGCTACGAGAAGCAAAAGATATTAGAACAGATTAATAATTCAATTAAGATCACATATATTTCGAAATACTCAGTTAGTTTGCAAGTCTTAATCATCTCCCCAGCATGTAATTGGTATCTGATCAAAAATTTCGCTCTGAAGATGGACAGTGTTCAGGGTGTTTTGCATCCATAATTTCAACATCAGAGGCTTTATAAGATTAGAAAGAAAAATTTATGATCAAGAAATAATATTTATGATTATTTTTTCTATTAAAGATCAATAAACAATGATATGATAAAATTACAAATTTTGCGTGTTTATTTAGTATTGATATTCTGAACTTGCGAGAAAATAATCAATGTTTGTTTTCAGTACTGAAATATTTTGTCTAGATGAAGCCTATGAAAGGGTGAGCAACATTTCCCTCTCCAAATGGTGGTGTAGTGTATTTAATTATGACAAAGCACACTAGGGCTAAGGGAAGGGATGCTTTCGTGGAGGACTTTCTAAGGGAAGCTGGCTCGTATACACGCTACACATGGGTAAAACCGCGAAAACACCCATGCAGCCAGCCCGTTTGCGGGATTCGAACCTCAGACTGAACTACCTGTGTTCAGCGACTTTACCGCTCGGCCGCTGGTGAGCTCCTCTCCAAATGAAAAATACATTTATATCCCAAAACAATGCGCCTAAAACATACATCACATATAAATTCATCTCATTTTTCTGATGCTTACTTTATTAGAACTTAAAATAATTTTAATATATAGTTATTTAAAAATAATTTTTAAAAATGGGCAGAATTTAGGTTAATTAACTTATTTGGATATTTACTATCATTTCTCCTTTTCGTTAGATCTCATCAGGATGCAAATGAATTGAGCTATTTAAGTATCTAAAGTTTGATTAAATTCCGAAAAGTCTTAGAGCTTTCAACAGCGAAGCTCGCAGTGATATTTCTGTCACCCACCTCTGTTCAGCTGTTTAGTCCGCATTAGCCATTTTACTAGCCCATGTTAAATAACTCACGCAGAATTTGAACCAGCGCTTTAATAGGCCATATATATTGTAGTCTCATCCAACGATCTATTTTAAATTGGAAATTCCATTTCCATTTGTGGTGGCGTAATTCCACTTCATGTTTCCATTGCAAATTTTACTTCATGTTTCCATTGCAAATTTTACTTCATGTTTCCATTGTAAATTCCACTTCCTGTTTCCAGTGGCGGAACTTTCATTTGTATGTGCAAGTTTTGCAGTTGTTAAGTTCAAGTTTTTAATAAAAAGGTTGTTTAAAACCTCCTTAGGACTCTATTGTAATTTCAGAGAGGGACGATAACTCGCTAGTTGGTCTAAGCAAGGTTTAAGGACTTTAAATTACAGAGAGTGAACCCTACAAATATATTTATAACTTTATTTAAATAATTAAGATGTCATAAAACATGAAGTTCTGTATAAATTTTGTTGTTTGTTTTATTAACACAAAAATAAATAAATAAACACGCCTCCTTTGTTCTTTTTAAGGTTTCGTTTTATTTTAGGAAAACTCATCGTGGCTTCTGCGTTTGAAGATGAAAGCCATGCAATAAGGCAATGTTCCCTTGGTACTCAGTTATCCTCTACCTTTAGATTTGACTTGCTCTACATAGATTAGTCTTCAGGTCAGTTTTCGACTGACGTCTGACCAGCCGTGAATTCCGTTGTGAGGCGAACCAGCTTCTGCTTTAATCAGATTCGAGGCACACAGAAACGGGGAGGTCCCTAAAGGGAAGACCCCGGTTGGGGCAGCTCCAAAGGGTCGAGAGGTACTGGAGCTGGTAAATGTATTCTTTCCATTAATCATATTTTTGGCTAGTTTTTCACACTTTTTACTGATTCTTTTTCCTTTTTGCTTTTTTTTCAGGGAGGATCCAAATTCATGTTCGTTGCCTTGTGGCAGTTTAGTTGAATTTTTGATGTCTTCAGTGAAATACTGGGTGCGGCCATAAAGATACTAATATTTAACTTCTGTCAAAAGTTGGCGTCTTCATCAGCGTTCTATGTAAATGAGAACTTCTTTTTAAGGGAAAATATTTCTCAGGTTGTGTCTAAAGCTACTGCTTGTTGAATAGATAGCTGAATCGGCTGAACAGCGTTGTAAATAAATACAAATTTAAATTTATGTGTTTAGATAATAATCATAATGTATAGTGATTTTAATAAAATATACAGAATTCGAAAGCATATGCATGAAAAATTAGTGATGCATTACACATACGAAAAGTTCGCCTAGAATACGAATCATGCTTAGCTTTTTATGGAGAGATCCACGTGATCTTACCGTATAGAAATATGTTAATAGTAATAAACTATTACAGATTTTTTATTGTTTAAATCCGGTTTTAGAAAGAGGAAGAAATTTGCTTATTTTCTTATTAATGAAAATAGATTTTCTCTTCTTTTCTGATTAGAAAATATATGATTAACGTTTGCTATTAAAATAAAACTTTTATGACTGTCAATGATTTTTAAAAAAATCACAAAATATTGGTTTTGCTTTACGAGAGCGTATTTATTAACATATTTAGTGACATGCAATCACGTGCATACATATGGGCACCCACGGAGAAATTTTCTCAAAGTTCTTCAGGGAGAGTATGTATCATTGAGTTTGCAGAAAGGGTAAATTTTGAACAAACACCTGTGCTTTCAAGATGAAAGGGGCGGTGAAAAGGAGAGGGAAAGAAGATAGATAGCAAAATTTATTAGTTAATAATTTCGAATCAAGTCAATATTTAAAAATAAATAATTTTTTCCTAAAAATAATTCATCACAAGCATTAATAAAAATTCAAATAAATTCGAACCTAAATTAATAGATTTTTCTTCCTTTTTTGTGAATAAAATATATGTGGGGCGAAATTATTAGTGGATTTTCAGAGTAAAAGTTAAAACTTCATTATTTTCGTGTAGGAACTACAACTTACGAAAACTCAGAACTTTAAAGACAGATTCAACCAAGCCAACTTGTCCTAAAATTTATAAGAGATATATGTAACTTCATAATCCATTTAATAACACTGGAAATTATTGAAAGCTGTTTGCACGAGAATCAGTGGATTCATATATATGTATATATACATAATAAATCAAAATCTCGAAAATCGGAACGAAAAAGAAAATGCCATGGTCTACGTTAACAGCACCGTTACAGTTCTCATGATCGATTCATTATTTGATAAGAATATTGTGTGTGGGGGGGGGGGGGAGGGGAATATTCAGCTTTCTAAGATTCACAAAAAAACGCAAGATTTGGTTAATTGATTCAGGGAAAATACATGGGGGTATCTACCTATGAGAAGAGATGCTTTTGTGGAGGAATTCTTAAGGGAAACTGGCTCGCATTCATGCCACGCAAGGGAAAAACTGCGAAAGATCTCGCACAGCCAGCCCATTCAACGATAATTAAACCTGGATCGAATTACTAGTGGTCGGCGATTTGATCCACTTAATGCACTTGGTGGGCCACAAATGATCAAGAATTTTGGAAACTACGAGAATAGGTCCAATCCGAAAGTCTCGCTGCGCAAATTATATATATATATATATATAATATCAAGATTTTTAAAAGCTTATTGAATTATATGAATTACCGGTTTTTATTACTGAAAAGATCCTATATGAATAAAAATTGGGAAATATAAGCTTTTTAAATATCAAATTGCTAAGAATTAATGAGGAATGTGTCATATAGCGAAATAAAATTTCCATTTTCCAATGCAAATAGAATTAAATGTTGAAATATTTCAAGCATTTTATTTTTCACAGAGTTTGTACCTTAAAAACATGTCTTAAATACAAGATCTTAAAAATGATACAGCAAATGGAGCGACTTCCCCATCCTTCCAACACAACGGTCCATCCAATAACAATCACAGAAATCTCCGTTCTTAATTTCTAAACCCCTTTCGAAAGGGAAAATGCTAAACAGGGCTTATATATATGACAAGGGTTCCAAAATCCGATGCAGTGTTCATCCTGTTTATCTTCGACTCAAAGCATAAACAGCCATTTTTCTTGGCGAAGCTGTCACCCGTTGGCGACATCCTGGCGTCCGTTTTTAGTACTGACTGTAACCCTGGCGAAGAGAAATTATTTATGAACGCGAGACTTTTCTACACGCAAGAATTGGGATTCCGTATTATTATGTAATGGAGGTAACCGACTTGTTATCCGATTTACATTTATGATGGTCGTAATTGAAATGATAATCGGAAACGTTAAACCGATTATGGCCCAACCATTTGGAACTGAATTAATTGCACGATTAACTCTTGGGCTTGTTTCCCAGTGGATCACTTACATTTCTGCTCTGCTCTAATTTACCATTTTGCTCTAACGATTCAAATGAAAGTCGTAAGAAATTATTAAGTGCAACAAGTTGCGTTTAACACAGAATGGCTTACTGAGTTTAATGACGTGGCAAATTTTACATCTTCTCTGTATCTTACAAGAAATCTGATTCTGGATGCTCTTTCACATTAATCTTAAGGCTATTAACGGTTTTAACATTTTGAAACCTATGAAGAAACTAATAAATGCATGAAGAGCATTAAACGATTACCCATGTTTTTCAATTTGTAGTGCAAAGTAATCTTTGAGTTATAAAACAAAATGGAAATTTTTATTAAAACTTTATTTCTGGTTGGATTTGGAAAAGTTATTGTAATAAATTCTGTTTAAGAGGTTGACTTAATTAATACAAAGCACGTGGTAGCTATTTGACATGGAATGAATGTCTTCGTGGGAGTTTTTTTTAAGAGAAATTAGCTCGTATTCATATTACACGCAAGGAAAGCTGAAAACATTCTCTGCAGCTACCCTTTCGCCGGAATTTGAGTCTATGTTGGATTAGCACCCTTGAGCATATTTACTCACTCGGCAACTGATAAAGAATATTTAAACCGTAATTTTCTTAATAATACGTTTTATATCTTTGAATGGTAGGTTTCTTAATTACTGAAGAAAAATAATTTTGTTACTTACCTTGGCGATGAATGGTCATTTTTTAATTTCTGCATCTGATCTCAAATTAATGAATAAGTTGTCTGCTGAATCAAAACTTAAACCACACGAGAACTCTCTGCTAAAGGAAAAGCATACCTTCATTAAGGACATCTTAAGGAAAACTGGCTCACATTGATATTATACATAAAGCACAAAAACTCCCGTGCTGCAAGCCCATTTGTCGTAATTCGAACCACAGTCATATTACCAGTATTCGGTGTTATTCACTTGGTCACCTATAATATGTAAAATAAGGCTTTAAAGTTTTAGTTTATAATTTTGTATTATCATATATAAACCTTTGAACAGACAAATGACGTAACTTGAAATTTAGAGCCGCCCAGACGGGTACAAATACCAGTCTTGCTTCAACCTGTACCTATAATTTGAAACTCGAGGATACACAGAAAATTGCTTGATGGTTCTATGTGAAGTTTTTAACAAAACATTCTTAAATAAAAAGATGTAAAAATGTTCACAAGTGTAAAATGCACACGAATCTAGTTATTATATATTTTAAAGTGTACTTTTTTTCCCGCGTTAACTGATATTGCTGCTACAAACGAATGCCAATTTGAGTTCATAAGGTTTAGTTTTATACTTCATATACAGTTAGATTTTTGAAGACACAGTTCTGCTGTAATCATCAGTTCTTTTTAACAATAAAAATCTCATAAATATATCTCAAACCTGCTATAACTGCAACATGCAGTTCAGTTACTTTTTGAAATATTGCACAAAAATTTTCACTCATTTCTAAGTTTTAAAAAGGCATAAATATTAATATGCTAATTTAAAAAGAAAATTTATTAATTAATTATCAAGCCAAGAAATTTCCAAATCTAGTTAAATGTAGTTTATTACGATTCTTTTCATGTTTCTTTTTCTCCATCTACCGGTTCTTGCGCAAACAACTTGCAAAACCCTTAGAAAGCAATGCTTCTTCGAAGCGGAGTTTGCGTTTGAATCGCCATTAGTTTGTTTGTGTCTTCCTGTCATCGACAGTCCCCGGAAGAACAAGGGGTCCAAATGACCCCTAATTAAAGGGCAGCTGACATTTTAAGCGAAAGCATCGGAAAACAATTCCTTAGAACCCCTGTCGGGATCAAATAAGACGGAAGAATGCATTTCCTTAACATGTGATAGGATAGTTCTCTTTGCCAGATAAGCAATCGCAACATTTCAGAATTGGTGTTTGTTTCTTTGTTTTCGATCGACGTTATACAAACGCTCTGAATAAAACGAAGTTTTTGAAAAGGAATTTTCTATTGTGAAGATCTGAAAGAAAAGAAGAATGTTGTTTTATTTTTTATGTATTTCGGTTTTAACGTGGTGTGAATAAGGCAATAAAAAGTACTTATTTGTATTATATTAATAAAATAATAATTTGCCTTCTTTCTTTCAATTCAAATGAAAATGAAAAGAACTTTGAGAGATCCTGTAATGTTCTGCGTATGAGTTTTATTGACACTTTTTGTTGCTATTATAAAACATTAACAAAACAATAATTTTTCTTAAAGGGATAAATTGGGTCTAGCCATTTGTTTTTAGAAATTTAGATGTTGCATGATGTGCGTTTGAGTATTTTGCTCTAAATCAAAGCTCAACATATGACAAGCTAAAGTGTTTTAGAATATCTCCCAATGTTGTAAATAAATGAATTTTGAAATGGTTCCATATAGTAATATTGCAATTAGCAACAAATAAATAAATGAATAATAATTTGTTTAAGAAATGTCTCATACTCATTCACAAAAGTCTCAAATGAACTATATATATATATCTCAATGCTCAGTAAAGCCGAAAAAAAGGGCGGCTGGTCATTTTATTTAGCCGGATGCACAAGTTGCGTTAGGTTACTTGATTGTCGAAAAACACACTAGAGCTTTAATGTAAATGTTGGAGGCGGGTTGCTTTCGAGAAGGATTTTCTAATAATAATTGGCTCTTACTTATAGTATAACGTATTTTATCCCTCCTTTCTGCATACCTTCGTGGTGTTTTGGTAGCCCAATCGGCGCGTATTCGAGAAGTCCAGGCTCGAGTACCGGCGAGGACATTGCTCATTTTTTATGTCTCGTTCTTAAAATAATCTCATGATCTACAGTTGCCCCCAAACTAAAAAAAAAGTGGTGGGTG